GGGGGGGGGGGGAGAAACACTGGTTATTCATCTTCACCTCCAGACAACTTAAAAAAATAGAATTAACAAAAAACAATTAAGAAACCTAAAGCAACAACTGCAGAGATTATCATCATTTACACAGCAGCTTTCAGAGGCCAAACTGCCAAAACAACCTTCGATACGGCTTACAAGCTTCAACGCCAAGTTTCATATTTATCTTCTCAAAACAGGTTCAGAAAATAAACTGTACTAAAACTGCATATTTTATACACAAAAAGACTGTATGAAGGAAGTAGATTATTTAAAAAAACAACAGACATTCAACTTTTAGTTCCTAACAGATGACACTGGCTGCTACAGATACATATCAGCAAGCACCAAAAACAGATTGAGGTTGGATACTCAGCCACACTCACTAAGCATCAAATGGTATTTCAACTAATGTTTGCCAAATAAATCCATACAGGTAAGTATATATGTGAGCAAGTGAAAAATAAAGCAAAAACAGAATGTTAGTAGTCTCTTGGTCTCTAATGCTGACTATACAGAAAAGGTTGCGGTCTAAATTTACACAAAACAGAGTTACTACTCTGCAGACTTTATTACAAGTTTTAACATCTTTTATTTAATCTCATAAAAACAACCGATGACAAATCTGGCGACAGTTTCATCACATGACAAAGAACACGATTACTGTGTTTTTTCATAATCCATTTACAGACAAATGTGTACATATGATGCTTATTTGTGCTACCTGACTGTCTGAACCAAAACTATATGTGAAGATCACACAGCTCTCACACTCTAGCCTCTCCCTCTGCTGTAAGTGAGGACTGGAGCAAGCACACTGCTATGCAGATTTGCACCTGTCATCACACGGTGACTATTTTGGAGCAGCAAACAGATGGTTTCCTCTGAATTAAAATCACAAGAAGCTGGTTTCTCCGCTTTCTCTTTCACCTGTATTTGAGCTAGAATGACATAACGCATTTCGTTTCAACCTTAAACTCAATTTGAAACTTTCAGAGTACCTGATAATATGCAGTGAAAAATAAAACATGCACTGGATATAGGCTGGTAAAAACAGATCTTGGAGGGAGCATGTCTTGCTCAGCAGGTGAGCCAAAATCTATTTTTTTATAATATATCTATATATTTATAATTCCTTATCACAACCTTTTCAACAGAAAAGTAAATGAGTGTACATTAAAAGAAGTAATGATGATGATGAAAGCCATTCTGCACGTATTAAGCCACTGTTATGTGACAGTAAATGAAGTGAGACAAACTACAGTTTGCGCTCCTTTAACTACCCACAACTAATTAATGTGGATGGTAACATGATAAAAACAACAATACTCATCTCTCAATATGAAGGCTCTCCCACACCTCCAGTTAAAGCTCTTATAAAGTGCTTGACTGCACAAAATATTGATAACGACCTTCGACCTCTAAAATAATTGATGTCTTTGCCTGAAAAACCTTTTGAAACTGAAAAATGCCATATTTCAGAAATAACTTTCAGTTAATGAGTCATCAAAAAAGATGTTATATGGTGTTTTTTTTTTTATTTTTATTTTTTTATAAATCTCTTCAGTTGTAATTACAACAAGATTAAGGGTTCGTAACTGGCAGCGAGCTTTCCTTGAAAGTTTATCAAAGCCTTTTCAAATCTCAAACTCAAAGAGACACCTACTCATGATGCCCTGTTTCACTGTTTGATTTTAATACCGAATGAATATCGAATATTATCTTTTCAGACTCCTTCACATAATTCAGATAGAAAAAGCCCAGATGCTTTTAATTGCCTCATCAATTCAAACACTTCGCCTGTGTTAAGGTTATCAGAGGCAGCCTACCTGCTGTGGCTGTGGGGTGGGCTGAGGTGTGGACGCTGTCTGTTCTGTCTTCACCTTGGACACCAGGGGGAGGGGCGTCAGACAAGAGGTGGGCCTTCCTGCGGCTGTGGCAACGATGCCGACTCCGCCACCTCCACCCACTGTTTGAGTGACGGGGCTCTGAGGCTCGGAGCTTGGGGTCTCCTCAGTGTGGAGACCCTGGGAGTCACAGCTTGGAGATGAGACCTGGAGGCGTGATGATATAAAGAAGGATGAGTTTCCAGAATTACCTATGAAAAAAAATACACAACCATACTGTGCCACTATTTGATTTTTATGCTGGTTTAAAACCGAAATGTGTCCATAACATCATGGAAAATCAAAACCTGGCATCAAATGTCTGCTCATATTCATAATGTTGTTCTATGATAAGATGGTTCCAGATTTCAATTGACATTTTGCCAATTTAGACTATTTTATTTGGGTGAAGTTACTGTTCTGATTTTATGACGTTCTTATGTTATAATGGAAACAGTAAATCAAAACAATACTGATAATAACTGTTTAAAGTCATCTATGAAGCAACATGGTGTTAAGGAGTTATTTGGTCCCAGCCTGTCACATGTCAGGATTCGCTTTCTGCTTTATACCACTGTAATGTGAATATCGTTTGCTTTTAGACCTGGTCCAACAAAACCTGGCCTTGGGCTCTGGGATTTTGTGATGCAATTTTCCAGACATGTTCTGTAATTGAAAAGATTAAAGCTTTATTAAAAGATCCCCTCCATACATGTGTACGAAAAGTCTGCTTGGAACAATAATGTGTTTTTTCCTTATGAAAACAGCAAAAAAACTATATAATTTCCACATTCAAATCCTTATAAATCCTTGAAATCCACATTAGGGGGCTATGGCGGCAGTAGCTCAGTGTGTAGGAACTTGGCTTGGGAGCCGGTTCAAGTCCGGCTTGAACCGGCTCAAGTCCCACAGACCACAAAATATGATGTGGACTGGTAGCTGGAAGAAGGTGCCAGTTTCACTTCCTGTGCACGGCCCAGGTCCCTTAAGCAAGGCAACCTAACCCCGAAACCTGCTCATGGGGCACTGTTAATGCGGCAGCCTTTCCTCCTCTTTGCATGTCCACATGTGCATGAAGTGTGCATTTCAGCCTGTTGTGTGTGTGTATAAAAAATAAAGAGTGGAAAAAAAAAAAAAAAAAATTTCCCCTAGGGGATCAATAAAGTATATCTTCTTCTTCTTAAAATGACCTCTATTTCTTCTACCTTATTAAAAATGCCAGAATTTATGAATATGCTAATTTTGTTTATTCAAGTTTTCCTGCTGGACACAAGATGTCTACTTCACTGTACAGTTGTTTCTACACCACACTTCTGCAAGTCACAAATAAAGCTTGTTGGCACACCACTTAAAATCAAGATTTTCAATGAGCACAGAGAAACTTTCCACTTCCAGAAGATGAATGTGAAAACATCCTTCTAGTGTCAAACTCCGCACAGACATCATTCAAACAGTGAAGCTCAACCACTCAACTGTTGTTGCAGTTCGTGGTTTATATTCCCTCAAATAAGATATCAGAAAAGTTTTGGTAACAAAGCTTGGTAATAATATTGGCACTAGTATTGGAAATGTGCTTTCTGCTAGTAATGAAACAGACAAGCAACCCTTCTTTTGTACAAAATTAATTACTTTTACTCTGCTACAAGCTGGACAGATTTTTTTTATATGAAACATGAATTTCCAATATTTCTTGAGAAAATGAGCCAAACACATTTCTGACAACCACCATTTCAAACGCAGCAAGCAACACATCCAGCATGGCAAATACTTCAGTTTTTCTTCACATACTTCACATAACACATAGCTGGAACCATATTAACTCTGTCTGGAGGTGTTAAGAAGTACTTTCAAGGAAATCAGTTCTCCTCATTAATATGCAGATTTATGCAGCAAGGCACTCCAAATCTAATCAGATCATCTGCTACTATAGAGGGAACCTGTAGTGTCAGTACGATGTTTCAATTATTCTTTACTCACAAGAACATGTCTACAAACACAGACACCCCCATGACAACAAATGTCATTCTTAATGTCACGCACACAACAGGTGCCATGGTGGCAGCACATGAAGGCTACTGACTATCGAAAAATTCCCGTAGTTCTACACCTGCAGTCAGCCTTAAGGAACAATTGAATCATTGTTTATGAATGTTTCATTGACGGGTTACCTTGAGGAAAAACTCTGTGCCTTTCTCCATGATCTGTTGGATCTGGAGGAAGCCGGCTGTGTACATGAGCAGGAACTGGTCTCCAACGTTCATGCTGAGGCGTCCTGTGTAGCAGAAGGCCAGGATCTGCTGGAAGCTCTGCGGCTGCACGGCCGGGGGCAGCTCCACTACCGAGCTCTTTCCCCCGGCGTTGAACAGATCCCGGAAGTAGGAGCTGCTCGCTGCCAGCACCGCGCGGTGTGCCTGAGGTAAGGTAAGGAAAGTTAAGTTATGCGAGTTAATTATGTTATGATTGTAAACGAAATCTATGCAATGTGAATATCATCATACATATGATAAAACACAGCCAATCAGGGTAGATTTAAACATTGAAATATGAAATATTGAAACTGAAATATTTCTATTGGTTCCTTGGTTTACACTTCATGTGAGTGCAGTCATATATAAGGAGGTGAAAACCCCAGACAATATGTACAAAGTGGAAGACTGGCTTCATCTCAGCCATGTTTACAGTTAACCTCCCTTTGGCAGAATCTATTTTAAACTGCAATGGAAAAAGACATTTTATTTTTTAAAAGTATCTAACCGTAGAGGAATCCTTTCCCATTATATTGCAGTAACTTCTGAAATATAGCCAAATTTCTAATTGTATCCTTACAAATTGTATTGAACGGTTGCAAAGCCAAAGATTTATTCCCCTTGTGAGAGAAGTGGCCAGAGGGAGCTCAGAAAATCTATTAGAAAATTATTTAAAGCAGGACTCTGGCTGTTTTTGACCTGGACCATATTTTCCTGTCTTGCCAATTGATTTTAACCAAACTCTTGTCAATACCTTCACTGAGGAGCTAATTACGACTTACTGCAGCCCCCACAACCAGTCCTCCAGGACCAATGAACAACTGAAAAAAAACTGAATACCAAAACCTTTCCCAAGCATGTTGTTTAAACACAGAAATTAAAATGATTTAAACTCTTGCCTTTCTTTTACAGTTTTGACTCTAATTACTCTTCTCTCTTGTGGATAGGACTCAGCCTACATGGGGCGTACGCTCTATCAGGTGAGCTACCAGGCACCCACCAGGTGAACTTTTGTACAACCTCTGACTAGAAGTTGTCGTTCCTTGAATAGGTAACTTTAAAAAAAAAAAAAAAAGTTTCGAGACCTTGAATGCATGTCCCTTGACGACCACGGAGACATCACAGTAGAGGCCCTGCAGCCGCTGTTCGTTCAGACACTCCAGGATGTTGTTGCCAAAGTTAGGGATCGCCATCTGCAGCGTCTGAGCCATAACGCTCTGCCCAGCACCACAGGGTCTGCAGGAAACAGAGGCACAAGTTAGAGTAGGGACAGCGGGATTTACATCAGTGAAAGGTTATAAAGAGAGGAATGGATGGGATGTCGGACAGGAGAGTGAAGTGGAGAGGGATATATCTGGAGGGAAGGAGGGATATAGATGAAGGATGATGGGGGCGATGTATGGATGACTGAAGGGAAGGTGAGGAGGAGCGTGAAGAACGGGTACATGGAGAGACATCGGAGAAGTGATGAGGAAGAGAGGACAAGATGAGGTAGCAGGCCAGGAGAAGAGGAAACATTAAAAAAGGAGTGATGAGACAGGAAAAACGGCGTAAAGAAGGACGGGAAGATGTGTGAAAGGCAAACAAGAAAGTAATGAGGAGGGAGGAAAGAGACTTGAAATAAAGAAACAGGGTTAGTAAAAGTATATGATGATTAATGAATTAAGTATTTGGTAAACAACTTTAATTCAAAACTCTAACCTCCGAATGAAAGAGAATTTTGGGCCACCAGCGAGTTATATAAGCCATCTTTCTCTTTTTTTAACCTTGTTTCATTACATCTAATTCACAGTTAATAAACTGTTTGCTGGTTTTTGGCCTACTTTGTTATTTTCTCGACGCTCTCTCAGTCAAAACACACTCGCTTACATAACTCATCTACTTCACTCGTCTTCGTCACCGTCTAGCAAAAACAGCCTGTGATCAAAAGTGGAGGAACTGTCAAACTCGTGACAAAAAACTAAACAAGGACTCTAAAAATCTCTAAAATCATTTTTTTGCTCAAGACAGCCGGCATCACTTTTGAACGGACCCTCTCTTTTTGTTTATGAATGCACAACATATACATAAAAATACTCTAACGCCAAGTCTGATGGAGGGGAAGTGAATGGATGGGAAAAAAGGGTGAGTCTCTAGCCGACGGAAAAAACATATGCATTTCATACAAGATCACGACCTCCAAGTGACGGATGGTGTACAAGCTTAGTGAATATGCACGCAAGTATTTGGACGGTAGCTGGTTCAGCCGAGATGATGTGGAGCTCCTGGCCAAGACAAACTAATAGGAAACAATACGATAGCAATTAGCCTTGTTCCTCAACTGGGAGGAAGACTCACAGACGAGACATAGTAACCTAAACAGCTGGCTGCTACATCACCTCCAGCTCTCTCCAGGAACGCTATGGAGAATGTATACTGAAGCAGCAGCCAAAAGGTCACAGACAGGGCTGGTGAGCAGACATTTTTATCATATTTATACCTTAGATCTAACGCTCAACACACATTCATGGACTGTCTCAAGTCTTATATCAGGATGTTCATCAGATATTATTTTATTCCTCTGAATGCCAAGGGGTCATTTGTAAAATACATATAAACCGACAGTTGTCTGTTACTATTTGTCAGTAAAAGAGCTTCCTTACTGCCCACAAGGAGTTCATGTTAAAGAAAAATGATTTATTCACCCTTCAAGCTCTGGTCTACAGAAAAAGAAACAATCCTCAAGCACTGTACGTACAGTAAGTTGCTTCCCTGTCGCATTACTAGGCAGCGACTGATGACTTTCAATCATATAATCCATTAATAAACCTATTACTTAATGACTGATTGCTTACTATATAGACAATGCCCAGGGCGAGTTCCAATTTTGCCTGAACGACCATTAAAAAACCTAAAGGGACTCATTTTGTAATGATATGAGGCAGCCTCATAATGGAGCAGCTGGAGCCTAAATTACTTAAAATGACAGATTATAATTGTTTGTCAATTAATTATCAGTTGATCAACGAATTCAATTCAACTTTATCATTATGCTTGTAAAACATAGTCTTGTCATTCCGAGTTAAATAACTGATTAATCGGTTAATCACTTCAGCAATATGTATTAATGTATTCGTCTACATAAACTAGAGATAAAATGACCTTTTTATGCAATTGTTTGAGAAGGAAATTGTGTTAGCGCTCCATTCCTTTTAAACGTGGGTCACTGGAGCATTTAGAAAAAAATAGGTCACCTAAAAGAAAAAGATGGACTGCACTGGACTGCATGACAACAGCAAGTCCAAATACAATTGTAAGTTTCAGCTCCAATCTCAAGTATTTCACAAATCAGTGCGGTAGAAATCCGATTTGGCAACTGATACGTAGTATTGCTTACACAGTTGTGTATTACAAGTCAGACAAAAGAAAGAGTGCAACGACAAATGCTGAGTAAGGAATATTGCTGTATTGCCCAGTACTATATTTGGGTGTGCAGCACTAGGCGAAGGAAGACAGGCAGACTGATCAGGGCTTACAGCGATGAAATATATATTTATGAGTGGAATGAAAACAGCTGGGACTCTTGCTGACAAGTTATGCATTGCAGGGTGTTCATTTCGTTAAACCTTGCTGATTGGCTTTTGTGAAAGTCTGAGGAATTGGACAACTTCTCACTTGAAGCCGCTCTTACTACAGCAAGAAAGGACTTGTGACAGTCTACACAAACAACCGAGTCCAACTTGAATTTCAGTTTGAATAGGATGGTTACCTCCACAAGCACAATCCTCTCAGCACAACTGTTGTACGCAATATAAAAAACATTATTCAACAACAAAAACTACTGAAACTGGCCTTGGAAACAAGTCTTGGGACAAATAAATATCTCAACCGCTAAAGCATAGCTCTCTGCTCCTCCATCTACCATCCAGATGTTCCTAAACAAGGCTCTTCCAGCAAAAATTTTAACTAAAAAGCATTTAATCACAAACAAGTTGGGCAAGGCTGGCGCGCCGGAAAAATGATTCCCCTTCAGTGGAGCTGCTCCTTAACGAACAATAAAAGATAGTGGTTGTACTGGGGAGCTTCCAGGTGTGAATGTGAAGCAGGGTGCTGTAGCATGCATGCTCAGCAAACCTTCCCTGGTTGAAAAAAAGTGCGCTAAAGCAGTCCTGAGCTCCTGCCTTACGCCTACTTAAGGGCAGCACTGAAAACAGAGGGCCATCAGCATTTCATCATAATTAATTTTTAAGTTTATAGCAACTAATTAATTTTGATGGATATAGGCACAGTATGTAGGGCAGTGGGCTAAGAGAGGGAGAGTAAAGCATGACTATATACAACCCCTCTGCTACCAATTTCACTCAAAGTCTTTCAATTTAATTTTCAAACGTTCAAAATCGAAAATTCTATTAGGGCTTAGACAGTTATGGCTAAAATAACAAGCTCGGTTGTCAGCATCTGTTATAATATTAGTATGTGTATTAATTGCGTAAACTATCATTACAATATTATTATGGTTAATAAATTGGGCAGCCATATTCTGGACAAAAAACAATTAAGTTTGCAGACTGTTTATTGGATTGAGAGCACGTTGTACAATTTGATCTGAATAACATTCCCGTCATATCAAAACACTATTAGTGCCGGACTGTATAAATTAGTTTTGTTTTCTGCTACTTATTTCATTCAAATCAATAATGTTTTGACATTACTAAGTCAGTGTTTGCTGGCCATTGTACCTTGACACATTATTGTGCCTTGACAGCTTGTGTCGATGTAAAGAAATCAATGCGCATTACATTAACGTAATTATTATTCAACTGAAGTGGCTCAGGGTGATATTTTCTCCATGCATTCTGGGCCTTATCCAGGCTTTGTTTACATACATTACTGCTACTTTATTAGTTTATCGTGGTCTTAATGGTCATGTGGGTATTTGTCTTATCAAAACAGGTTACAGTATCTAAGTGTGCTGATAGAGCACCAGGATTAGCACTAAAGTCGTAGTACTAAAAATGCATTATACACACTGTCTGCCCCTTGACATCTCCACTTCCCGTGGCCTTGAGCGAGCAACTGAACTGATGGGAGTCCCAGAGGAGCTTCTCAGCGACCAATAACAGATGCCTGTGGTTGTTTCCAGGTGTAAATATGTGCAGTCATATGAATAATCACCAGGCAGCTGCTATGACAAAGCATCTGTGTGGCGAAGATACTATAATACTCAAAAAGAGCAAAAACAAAAAAGCAGCAATACATACAAATCCATGATTATTCTGATTTTTACAATAAGAAACCAGCATTTTGTGTTAAAAACTTCAAGTGCATTATTGTAGCCTAAAAGAAAACTTTTCCATCACCAGGAGTGAACTTCTTGCCTGACTTGACCTCGACACACAGCGGAGCATTGAGATGTCATCCAAGGACATCCTACCAGCCGCCCTTTCCCCCTCAGAGGTCGGAGAGGTCACCACAACTTCCAGGAAACATAAAAGGGAGTTAATTCACACCACTTGACCCTTGCCCCGCGGTCCCTGTGTGCCCCATTATATGCTCTGACTTAATGCTAAACTGTGTGTGTGTGTGTGTGTCTGAGTGTGTGTGTGTCCTCTACAACTTTTTTTAAAATTCATCTTCAGTGTCAAACTCTGGTTTACTTTATGCAGACTAACCTCATGCTCCAGCATAAAACCCAAACGTTTATATAAAAAAAAAAGAAAAGAAAAGAAAAAAGGGAAAAAAGGTAACCTGATCACTGCAGTCAGCTTACTGGCATACACAATCAATCCAATCCTCTATCTGAATCAATACTAACACAAGCTTGTGATATCAACATCAATCACTACTTAATCAGACTCAGTTTCCTGGTTTAGGGAGGTTAAAGGTGGCCTGTTAGCAAGTAGCAAGCTAAAGCTACGGCTAACACTGGCATTAGTAAAAAAAACCACCTAACCTCTGCATATAATCCCCACACACATGCCTTTAAAACCACATGAAACCCGGCCCTTGTGTCTTTAAATTTAAAGACATTTCAGGCTGTGCAATGCTCTACGTTATTTACCGACACTAGTGGGGTCGGACAGGCGACCAAATGTGGCTACAGTGTAGCCTCCCTTGAGCACGACTGGAGCTGAAACTTCAAAAAAGCCCGAAATGTTATTTATACACATCAATTATACATCAGTTAATCTCACATGAAAGTCTAGCCGAGCCGACGTCTCGCCGGTGAACGCCACAAGCGAGAAAAAGAGCCCCGCCACCACCAGCGGGGGCAAGCAGGGCGGTCAGGCTGGGCAGAGAGCTCTCGGTGCCCCGCCGTGTGCCAGCCTCGATGCCCGGTAGGATTTGGGAGTCCTCGGCTGGCCCGGGCCGGTGTGTGCGTGGAGGGAGGGAGGGAAGGAGGGAAGGA